ATAGAACGACAGAGCTGGAAGGGACCTTGGAGGTCTTCTAGTCCAGTCCCCTGCGGAAGCAGGAGAGCCTAGAGACCATTTCAATCCATCGATCGATCAGAATAGAGCTGGAAGGGACCTTGGAGGTCTTCCAGTCCAGCCCCTTGCTCAAGCAGGAGAGCCTAGACCAGGGGTAGGCAAGCTGGCCCAGGAATTCTGGGAGTTGAAGTCCACGAGTCGTAAAAGAGCCAAGGTGGCCTACCCCTGTCCTAGACCATTTCAATCAATCAATCAATCAATCAATCTGAATAGAGCTGGAAGGGGGACCCCCTGCTCAAGCAGGAGAACTAGACCATATTTTAGTTTAAGAAAGAGAAGGACAAGGGGGGACAGGACAGCAGTCTTCCAATATCTCAGGGGCTGCCCCAAAGAAGAGGGAGTCAAGCTATTCTCCAAAGCGCCTGAAGGCAGGACAAGAAGCAACGGATGGAAACTAACCAAGGAGAGAAGCAATCTAGAAGTAAGGAGAAACTTCCTGACAGTTAGAACAATTAACCAGTGGAACAACCTGCCTCCAGAAGCAGTGAATGCTCCAACACTGGAGGTTTTTAAGAAGAGACTGGACAGCCATTGAAGAGAAGGACAAGGGGGGACATGATAGCAGTGTTCCAATATCTCAGGGGCTGCCCCAAAGAAGAGGGAGTCAAGCTACTCTCCAAAGCACCAGAAGGCAGGACAAGAAGCAACGGATGGAAACTAATCAAGGAGAGAAGCAACCTGGAACTAAGGAGAAACTCCCACACAGTTAGAACGATTAACCAGTGGAACCACCTGCCTCCAGAAGCGGTGAATGCTCCAACAGTGGAAGTTTTTAAGAAGAGACTGGACAGCCATTTGTCTGAAATGGTATAGGATTTCCTGCCTGAGCAGGGGGTTGGACTAGATGACCTCCATGGTCCCGTCAAACTTTATCATCATCATCATCATCATCATCATCATCATCATCATCATCATCATCATCATTATTATTATTATTACTATTATATCAATCAATCAGAATAGAGATGGAAGGGACCTTGGAGGTCTTCCAGTCCAGCCCCCTGCTCAAGCAGGGGAGCCTGGCCTAGACTGTTTCACTCACTCAATCAATCAATCAATCAGAAAAGAACTGGAAGGGACCTTGGAGGTCATCTAGTCCAACCCCCTGCTCAGGCAGGAAACCCTACTCCGTTTCAGATAAATGGCCATCCAGTCTCTTCTTAAAAACTTCCAGTGTTGGTGCATTCACCGCTTCTGGAGGCAGGTGGTTCCACTGGTTAATTGTTCTCACTGTCAGGAAGTTTCTCCTTAATTCTAGCTTTGTCCCCTCTTTCCTTAGAGGTAATCTCTTTTGGGGAGGGGGGCTTGAAGAGGGCCAATCCAAAGCTTCCAATTCACCCCAAGAAAGTCCTCAATTCCCCCACCTAAAAAGGCTTAGGAACCTAGCGCAGCTCTATTGGGGGATGATTAACCCTTGGGCAGCCAGGCGTCAGGGCAGTCTACCTGAAAGAGGTGAAAAGATCAGCCTAGGCAACGTCGCATCCAAGGTGGCGGGGCAGTTCAGGCTTGGTTGCCGAACGTTCTCGGTCCAGGTCTAAGAGAGGGGAACTGGGGGTTTGAAAATAAAGGGGGCTGG